ACTCTATATAACTCTATATAACTCTATATAACTCTATATAACTCTATATAACTCTATATAACTCTATATAACTCTATATAACTCTATATAACCTAGCATACTACCGCATTCAATCAATAAAAATCTCGCTAAAACCTGGAACCACTGCGTACCTGTTATATGTATGGTGTGAAACAAAACAAAAAAAAACAAAAAACAAAAAACACACCACAAAGTAGAGTAAATGAATAGAAGTCCCTAACCTACCTATGTAACTAAATTACCTTATGCCCTAGCCTACCTATATAATAAATTAATTTTAATCTTACCTACCTATGTTTCATTAACTTAACTCAAGACTCATGAAGGAAGAGAAAAAAGAGTAAAACAGAACATAAAATACTACCACACAAACAAACATGATGTATGTATGTATGTATTAGCAACCGCTAAAGAACCCACCTAAAATATAAAAAATACAACATACAAACCACAGACATGCAAATTCTATATAACTCTATATAATATAACTCTATATAATAAAATAAATAAAAATAAATAAATTATAAAAATAAAATAAATGAGATCAGACAGACTGCTTCAAGCGAGGCAGAATGCCTGATCTGATTTTCATCTTGTCTCAGCTCCTCTATTTATACTCGTTTCAACCATACATTCTCATCATTTCAATCATTCGCATCAGTAAAAAACATATTTAATCTATGTAGTACGCTATTATACAGTCTTAACCACAATGCTAACCGTACTAAATTGACGTCATCGAACGAACGCCCTCGAAACTTTCTGATTGGCTGATTGAATCTGCTATATTGCTTTTTAAACAAACATATAATCTTATTAAATATTTGTATACATGGATTCTAGTTACTTTATATTATATATATATATATATTATATAAATTCATTATAAAAGCGACAGTAATCAATGCTATATATGTAGGCACGCAGTTCAAATTTGTCTGGGAGATTTCAACTTAGTTTGAGACCACACCTTGCTTAACATCCAATTCCCAGCAGAGCCAAGCCAAGCTGAGCCAATAGGCGTAGATTTATAAGCGCTTCTATATTAAAATTTCGCTCGCTTTATATACGAACATCCCAATATAACAAATTCTCCATCCTATTTTCAATTTTTTTTTTATGCTTTTTAATCAGTCAGGTCACAATCATCATCATCGATATCGCGGTGAAATCAAATTGAAATTTTTTTTTAAATTGTAGATAAAAGTAACATATACATATATATATATATAGTAAAAAGTTCAAATTTTTCCGAGAGAATTCAAAATAATTTGAGACAACACCATAACACAACTGTACAATTTGAATGTGTAAATACAACATTATAAATGTATTATAACTACGTATATATATATATATATATATATATATATATATATATATATCAATCTATTTTTTTATATAAATAAATATCAATCTATTTTTTTATTTAGTTTTGCCTGCGTATGATATTTGGTCAAATTTATTTGATAGGAATTGAATATAACCTTTATACAGGCTGATTAACTACCATCCAGTAAAATAACTATGTTAACATGACGTCATGTCCCCCCAACGATTTCTCAACGATATACCCATCCTATTTCATAAATTTTATTTGATGTTTTTTAATTAGTCAGGTCACAATCATCATCATCACTGACATCGAAACGAAATCAAATTGAGAATTTTTTTAATTTTTGAAAAAAGTTTCTTTATTCATTTTATGATACTATTTTGTTCAATAAGATACTGTTTGATACATATAACTAGAATAAATATAATGGCCTTCGCTTACTTTCAACGGTCGAACAAGGAGCTTACTTCCGGAGGGGAGTTGGAAGGTGATTTTTTATCGTTCGAGTCAAAAGCAATGGGAGGCCTATTTACAAATATACAACACTGCCGACAAAACTATACCGTACACTCTACAACCACGCACGTGAGTTATTTTACATGCGTATGTAACTTCATCTTGTTATCTTGGATATATAATGTTTGTTATAAAAATGTTACTCAATATTAGCTATTTATTTGTGTTAGTCACACAAATTTTTATTTCAAATTGTAATTTTTTTCAACGGTACAGTCACTATAAGATTTTTAAAAGTAAGAATTGAGCTATAGCACTTGAACTTAACATTTTCTAGAAACCTTTCCATTATATAGAGAAAAGTAGATAAAGAGAAGAGAGATACAATAAAGGTACACACCCACCCATGTGATACTCAACCGACAATCGAAATTCAGATTTAATAAAATATAATAGGCAATATACATGTGACGTCAATGCTCCCAAATTATGAGATAATTGAAAAAAATGGGAAGAATGGCAAGAATAGGATAGGATAATTCCAGTATGAAAAACGGATAATTTTTTTGATTTTAGGTTTTTATTTCATCTAAATGTATCCAAAATGAGGCATGCAAAGTTAAAATGTCTAAAGAGTAAAAATAAAACAAAAAATATAATGCATATACTAATAAACTGCATAACGATGATTATAGCGATATATATGAAACATTCTAATAATAACTATATATATGTGTGTTGTGTATATGTGTGTTTTTATGTGTGTGTGTGAGAGAGAAAGAGAAAAAGTGTGTTTGTGGGCGTGTGTGTGTGCGCGCGCGCGTGTGTGTGTGATTTAATTAATTAGTCATCCATTCAATTATGTGTGAATGGTTGTCATGACGAAATAATACATATGTAAGAAAAATAAGCTGCCTTCGTGAACGTATAATTGTTATTTTTATTGTTTAAATATTATTTAAAGTATCTATTAGTTTATTACTAATAAATTCTTAAAACACAGTAGCGAACATTAATATTTGAAGCAATTTTGAGCAAATTAAAAAGAATACAAATAATAAAATTTTGAAATTAAAGAAGAAAATTGCTTCAGAAAATGAAATAGCAGTGTTATTATATCATGAAAATAAAAAAGTGTCATCGTGCCAAAAATATGTTAAAAAATCCTCCATTATCTCATTATCATTCTCTTTTGTATCTCAGCAGACTGAAGTACAGAAAAATATCAAAATTAGTTAATACATTCTCTCTCTCTCTCTCTCTCTCTCTCTCTCTCTCTCTCTCTTTCTTTCTCATTATTTATTATTATTATTAATTATTATTCATTTCTTTTTCCGTCTTAATAATTTGCTCCATCTCCATCCTTTCATGTTGTTTTTTATTCTTATTCATCGAGTAGAACCCGCTCTCAACTGACATCTTCGTCTCTTTTCTATGCGGTTTCTGCTTCAAGTTTTTTGAATGACGATTGGTTGTGGAGGTTGCCGTTGCTGTTTTAGCTGCTGTAGCTTCTGAAGCTGCTACTGCTGTTACTGCAGCTGTTGATGTTTTTATGTCTGGTAGCAAAGTTGTTGGCTTTAGATTAATGTTATTTGCTTCATTACTTAGTGGTTGTTTCATGACAAAGTCGTTGCTATAGCTACTACAGCTGCGATTTTCGACTTTGATGTTGTTGCTGCTGTTGTAGTTGTTGCTACTGCTGCTGCTACTAAAATTATCCTCCGAACACAAAGACAGTTTTGTATCTTTGAAAAATTCATTCCCGTAAGTATCGATGTAATAAAATGCATCGTCGTCATTCTCATCATCGTAGTCATCATCGGCTACATCATCGTCGTCATCATCTCCATTTTTACGAGAGTCATAATTTTCGTTGTTGAAAATTTCGATGTAATTATTGTTACTACTCTTGTTAATGTCGGGCGATTTATTACAAAAACTGTTAATGTCATCTTTGCGTCGACCCGAAATGACATCAGTATAAAAGTCATCAGATTTTTTTCTTCCGTTGTTGCTGTTGTTGCTGTTGCTGCTGCTGCTGTTGTTGTTGTTGGGATTATCACTCACTTGCAAATCATATATTGGATTGAAGACCGTCGTAATAGTGAAATATTTTTGCCGAGTTTCAAATTGTTGCGAATCTCCATGGCCGTCAGGGTAACAGTATTGATCATGCCCGTCTGGCTGCAAATAATTTTCAATGTTGTTGTTGTCGCTGTTGATGTTGTTGTTGACATTTACGTTGATGTAAACGCTGTGTTGTTGTTGTTGGCTTTTTGTGGTTTTGTTGCTGGTGATGTTGTTGTTGTTGTTGGTAAAGATGGAAATGTTGTTGTCGTTGTAGTTGCTGGGTTTGCGACAAACATTGTTGTTGTTGTTTTGCTGTTGTTGCTGCTGCTGTTGTTGTTGATGCTACTACCATTTGTTTTTATGCTCATGTCTAAATAGTTTTGCTGAAAATGTGAATTAGTAGATGGATTTGGATATTAAATCACAATTAAACTAACATTGAACTTAACAAATCCAAACGAACATTCAAACAAATTACTTGCAAATGCAAATCAACCAACCGAACGACAAATCAATCAATTAATCAATCAATTAATTAGAAGAACTAGTCAACCAATCAATTAAATCAGCCAATCAGCCAACCAACCAACCAACCAACCAACCAATCAATCAATCAACCTATCAACCAACCAATCAATCAACCAACCAATCAACCAACCAATCAACCAACCAACCAACCAACCAACCAACCAATCAATCAACCAGCCAACCAACCAACCAACCAATCAATCAATCAGTCAACCGGCCAGCCAACCAACCGTCTGATATTTCTTCATAAGAATGGAACTAATCGTAGTAACGAGCTGCGTCGAGTTTGGTCTTTCATTAGGTTCATTACGCCAGCAACATATCATCAAGTTGTAACTTTAAAATTATAATTATTATAATTAATAATAATTATTATTATAGATATAATAAAATATGAATTATAGTCACAATAATTACATTTCTTTATCAGCTAGCGAAGGTTTCTCAAGTCTATATCCTTCTTGCAAGCGATCCAAGAATGTTTTATCCATAACTAGGCCGCTGTATGGATTCGAACCTGGTCACGATGGGATGATGAGTGAGATGAGGATGACAATTGAGATGACGACGATGAGTGAATGAGATGAGGATGATGATGATGATGGTAGAATATTTATGATGGTGATGACGACGATGAAGATTGTAAGATGATGATGATAATGATGATATTGAAAATTGAAAAATGATAATGATGATAATGATTAAATTTGATGATGACGATGACGACGACGAAGATGAAGAGATTTTAACGTAACAAATGATGAAAATAATAAGGATGAAAATGAAAAATAAAAAACTTTTTGCAAATGATCCAACTACCTAATGTAAATATCTCCCATAGCAAGACGCCGAACGACCAGCTGAAAATTAATCAAAATTCAATTAATTACTCAATCAATTAACTAATTAATTAAATTTTCATTAATTAAACGGCTACTACTAACACGTCACTCTGCAGGGTGTAAATATTTTTAGATAATGACTCCAACGCCATCCATTTTATTGGCACTGGCGTCTAGTTATAAAAAAATATAATTAATTAACAATTGACCATAAATAATTGATTGATTAATTAATCTCTTATTGCATTACACACAAACAACAAACACACAAACACATACACATTCAAAACAAACACACACACATGATGCAAACACACACACACATACACATATGCAAACAGACAATCACACATATGTACACAAAGCGCACATGAATATCCCAGTGAATCAAGACCCCAGTTGAGTAGAGACCCCAGAAAGTACGACACCCAACACACACACGCACGTACGCACAACACACACATACAAACACACACACACACACACATAACCACCGTTGATTTTTTCTTATACTCTTCGGTCTTGTAGCAATCTTTGGCCAGTCCAAAGTCACACAGCTTCATCGTCCTGCTTTCAGTAACCAAAACGTTTCTGGCCGCGATATCTCTGTGTATGTACTGTGTTGTCGTGCGTGCGTGTATATATTTGTATGTCTGTATGTGTGTGTATGTCTGTATGTGTGTGTATGTCTGTATGTGTGTGTAAGTCTATATGTGTGTGTATGTCTGTATGTGTGTTTTGTGTATGTCTGTGTGTCTAACATGACCAAACCTTTTTTGAGCTTAAATAATCAAGGCCTTTAGCAATTTGATAGGCCATGTTGTACAAATCCACCAATAACAACTGATCGTCATCATCATCATCATCATCATCATTGTTGTTGTTAACGTTATCATTATCATCATCGTTGTTGTTGTCATCGTCACCATGATCGTTTTCGTAGTTGGGTTTACGTTTATGATAGTTTTTCAGATTAGGATGATGTCTCGCGTTCGATTTAGACAAATGTTTTTTCTCTTCGGCTTTCTGAATTAGCAACATCAATCTAATCCTGTCCTCGATGGCATTATTGTTGCTGTCATTGTTGCTAACATCACATCTCCTATCCAGCAGCACATCACTTTCTCTGACGTCATTAGCAATTTTTTCGTCATCACTTTTGTTTGTATCTGCTGGCGATGTTTCAAATTCTTTGTTGTAACGATTTGGCTGGGATTTTCCAGTAGCTTCGTTATTGTTGATGTTTTTGTTGTTATTATTATTATTATTATTAATTTTATCGTCATCCTCCCAATGCATCCCAAATTTTTCCATTCTGATCTTCCAGCTTCTGCTACTTCCGGAGCTGCTATTGCTGCTGCTGCTACTACTATTACTTCTCGTGTTTTTGTTGTTATTATTGCAATTAATGCTGTTGTTTTTGTTTTTATTATTGTTGTTGCTACTGCTGTTATATCTGCTGTTATATCTGTTGTTTCTGTCGTTGTTTCGGTTCGAATGACCGTGACCTTGACCGGATTTGCTTGACCTTCGACCTAGTTTTTCGCCGTACTTCTGGAGGAAGTTTTTGAGGTTGCCGTGCTGGCAGTACTCGGTGATGATGTAGAGGGAGCCTGGTGGTGATGATGATGGTGATAATGATGATGATGGTGATGATGATGGTGATGATGATGATGTTGATGATGATGATGGTATTTTTAAAAGTATGATAACAGGAAGAAAACAATAAATATTACAATATTGACAATGATGAGAATAATAATAATAATAATAATAATAATAATAATAATAACGATGATTACGGAAATAGACATAAGCTATCACCGAACCATATTTGAGGTTTTTGGTAACGGCTCCGATGACGCTGAGAAGGTTGTTATGGCGACCGAGATGAATCATGATCTTCAGTTCGGAGATCAATGACCTCAACTGCTCTTCACTGCCCAT